AATCAATAAAAACATCTTTTAAAAATAAATAAAAATGATTTAAAATATAAATCAAATGCCTGCTATATTGAACATATTTTTTTCAATATTAAAACAGTATGTTATACTTTTTTTGTCAGCTGTCTCTGTAATGTAACCCGGGTTAAAAAAACAAACAAAAAAAACTCCTAAATATCCCTGATTGATCTACTGAACAGAATCTGATTCCTCTCCTACTCAGTATCACATGCTGCTGCTTCCATTAATTCTGGCAAAGAATATTAAACTTATAGAACTTTCAGAGATTTTGGAGGTAAATGTTTGACCCACCTCACAGAAATATTGCCAACAATGAAGAGATTCTACCAAAACATTTGGTGAGCTACACAAATGTGTTAAGAAAAATGAGAAAAAATCATGGATTAGTGATGGCTCGCTTGTGAAAATGAAACATGTGTCTATCTCCCAGCAGTGATGATCACACTACAGCCCTTCCAGAAACCCACCTCAATATGGACACTTAGGAGCTAATGCATCCGAAGCCTGGGAGCTAAGTGCCAACAAACAGGTTATCATGAGGCAGCAGCAGGGTCCATCAAGAGTGGGTCTATTAACCACATCTGGTCAAAAAGCTAATGCGTTCTTGCTTATCAAAATTGCAATTCTGAAAACCCCCCCATCCCCCAAATCACAACTAGCCTCTATGAGAATTAATTCTGAAGAAATGTTCTTTGAAAGCTACAAGTGACCTCAACAGACAGATACTGGATGGCTAGTCATGTAGAAAGGGGAGACTTCCAGGTGAAAAGTCTCAGAGCCTTCTAGAGCTCTGGAATCTGTAACAGTGAGTGTATATTATCTACCGAAAATCATTTTCATCAAATTAATTTAACAACTTTATATTCTGAGAAAAAACTTTTAATATAAATTTTTAAGGTAGGGCAAATTCTATGCCATGTGAACTATATCTAAAGCCATTACTGGCCCTAGCCGGTTGGCTCAGCAGATAGAGCATCGGACTACGGACTAAACGGTTCCAGATTCGATTCTGGCCAAGGGCACATGCCCAGGTTGTGGGCTCGATCCCCAGTAGGGGGCGTGCAGGAGGCAGCTGATCAATGATTCTCTCTCATTAATGTTTCTCTCTTTCCCTCTCCCTTCCTCTCTGAAATCAATAAACAAATATATTTAAAAAAATAAAACCATTACTGTAAAAAAACCTTTTAAGGTAAAATCTCCCTAACACCCAGAGATACCTGCTTAAAACTTCACAAAACAGAATGATAGGAACACAATTAGTGTACCAACCCCCCATTAATAGTTTCATCATAGCTTCTTTTCTTCCCCCTGAAAAAAGTTGCAACAAGCCTCTTTTCTGTGTACTCATTTGCGCAATCCCCAAGATACCTTCCCAGTTGTAGAGTTCTGGGAGGAGCATACATATATGTTCACTGGACATGCTGACAGTTCCTGACAAGACTGCCCTTCTACAAAGACGGCTGCTCCAAGTTACCATTCATGCTTCAGGGCAGAAGGCCTCCCTTCCATGTGTTCACAGCACTGGTTACCAAACATTTTAATATAAGATTTCTATAATGTCAAATTATTTTTCAGGAAATAGTGGGAGGGGTGGTTTAAAAGAAAAAGTAATTCCCGCTTACAGTAAATTTTCACACAGCACTAAAAGGTCTTTTGATCTGTTCTGGCCCTCCAACTAAGACAAGAGTGACCAGGTCACGGAGTATAAAACACCCTCCCTTCCTGAAAAACAAAACAAAACAAAACAAAAAAACACACTATGGAAGCATCATACCACGTTTTGCTCTTCTATTTAATCTTAGAGGTAATTGCACATCCAACATACACTGAACTACCTCAATTCTCTTTTCACAGTTATAGATCATTCCACTAATCTAGCCAGTCCCTTACTGAGGGAAGTCTTCTTGGTTCCTGCTTGCTGCAGTTATAATGCTCTAAGAATATTCTGGAGCAAATTTATCTTAGTACATATGCAAGTGTTCAGTCAGGTATACTCTCACAACTGGCACTGGTAGAACGTGTTTTCACACCTTGAGATACTTAATTATCCAGGTGTATCAGGATTAGTTAACTCCCCATCTCTTTAGTTCTGAATGAAGGTAAGCACCTGTTATAGGATTAGATGCCTGCTAGGAAATGCTCGGCGCCCATTTTCTATTGAGCTATGTCAATCATGATGAATTTTATATATATAGCAGGTCCTCGAATAAGATCATTTCATTCAACATCCATGAGATGCTATAGGAACTTTACTCTTGCTTATATCTACTATTAGCCTACGACAAAATTGGTTTCTTTTTACACTGTTTCACTAAAGTCACAGAAGACTTACTGTATAAAGGAAACTAGCCCATCATCACATATACAAATATTTTGCCTCAGTTTGTCTTATCTTATGTATGGGAATTTTTCATAAGATAGTATCTTAAGTTTTCATATAGACTAATGCATCCATCTTTCTCATAGCTTCTAGGCTTTATAACATCTGAAGATGACAAAAACAAAATTAACTTTTTGGGGCTCCAACTTGGTATTTTTCCAACTGGCTAATCCAGTTTCCAACACTGTTCATTAAAAACCCATCTTCTCTAGCCCTGACCGGTTTGGCTCAGTGGATAGAGCATCAGCCTGCGGACTCAAGGGTCCCAGGTTCGATTCCGGTCAAGGGCATGTACCTTGCTTGTGGGCACATCCCCAGTGGGGAGTGTGCAGGAGGCAGCTGATCGATGTTTCTCTCTCATCGATGTTTCTAACTTTCTATCCCTGTCCCTTCCTCTCTGTAAAAAAATCAATAAAAATATTTAAAAAAAAACAAAACAATCTTCTCTACTCTGACTGAACACATACCCTTCATAATAAACTAAATTACTATTTATATTTCAATCTCTTTCTATAGCAGCCGTGGGCAAACTACGGCCCGAGGGCCGGAACCGGCCCGTTTGAAATGAATAAAACTAAAAAAAAAAAAAAGACTGTACCCTTTTATGTAATGATGTTTACTTTGAATTTATATTAGTTCACACAAACACTCCATCCATGCTTTTGTTCCGGCCCTCCGGTCCAGTTTAAGAACCCATTGTGGCCCTCGAGTCAAAAAGTTTGCCCACCCCTGTTCTATAGTCTCAATTTCTTCTACCTATTCTCTGACATTAAATTAATCAGACCATTTAAAAAGTACACTGACCTTCTGGCTTAATATAAATGCTAATGTTTCTAATACATTAACTAAATAATACATTACATTAACTAAATAAAACTGACATTTCAACCTATACCTCTCTATAGCTATCAGTTTACTAAAACCTGATGTCCCTAGGTAATAGCCTCTTTATATAATCATTTTTAGGTTATTGAAGAATTAAAACTAATATAGAAAATTACCATTTCCAAGTCCCATCTGTCAGTTGAGCTTTTGCTAGACATTTTTTGTTAATTCAAAGATTCAATGCTGAGAGCACACTGCTGTTAAAGAATATATTTGAAAAAAAATTCTTCATTCTAATCACTTTTTAAGATTACTGGCTTGCCGAAACCGGTTTGGCTCAGTGGATAGAGCGTCAGCCTGCGGACTGAAAGGTCCTAGGTTCGATTCCGGTCAAGGGCATGTACCTGGGTTGCGGCACGTCCCCAGTGTAGATGTGCAGGAGGCGGCTGATCGATGTTTCTCTCTCATCGATGTTTCTAACTCTCTCTCTCTCTCCCTTCCTCTCTGTGAAGGATCAATAAAATATATATATATAAAAAATAATAAAATAAAATAAAAAATAAAAAAAAAAAAGATTACTGGCTTAACCAGAATTTACTCCAGCAACAATATATCCTTTAACATGTCCTTGAGGGGAAAAATGTTTTTCCTTGGGTTTCATTTTTCTCTGGCTTCCTTCACAGTCTTCAACTCAGGAAACTGAATGGCATCAAACCCTTCTAATGACTTCTGCTCATAAGTGTTGGAGGATTAGGAGGAAAAATAAATTAAAACAAAACAACTCTAAAAAAAAAAACAAAACTCTAAATCATGCATTCTCAAAAGAGGAGGGGTAAAAACTGGCCTTAAGGGGGGGAAAAATCTAAGATATTACAATGGTTGTAGTAGCGTGGAAGGAATCACAGTACATAAACTGACATGCAGCATGGATTATCATGATATTCAGGGTATCACAGAGAAAACGGGGACAAATTCAGAAAAAAATAGTTTTAAAAAGGTTTCTTTGGAAGAAAATAATAAACAAAAGTTGTGAAATGTCATTTTATAACCAATAAATTGCAAAAATTTAACAGTCTGATAATACCAATGTTGGTGAGGATGTATACACTGCTATTGTGGGTGTAAATTGATTCAGCTACTTTATCAAACAATAGAGAGAAAAAAAGAAAAGAATTATCTTGAAAGGATGAACACGTGCATCCCTTACAAACTACCAACTCTCTCTCCTAGGAATATATCCTAGATAATAGAATACATCCTAGAAAAATCCTTATACACATGCACCAAGAAGATATGCAAGAATATTCATTATACTCTTCATAATAGCAAAAAAAACCCACTAATTTTGCTATGAATCAAGAATGGATAGTTGGGCAATACTCAATCAACAATGAAAACAAACAATACCCAGCAAAATGGGTAAATAGAAACACAATATTGAACAAAAAGGTTATTAACAACTGTCTACACTATGAAACCATTTATATAAAGCCTCAAAAACAAGAAAGAATAAACATATCTTCAAGGAATCATAAAAATATGTAATAAAAATATTTTTAAAAGGAAATGACACACACAAAGTATAGAATAGTGTTGGGGAGGTAGACACACAGGCAGACACAAAATGGTATTGGCCATGTTCCAGTCCTCAGCTAGAGTGATGGAATAACAAGCATCTATTTTGTTTGCTTCATAACTTACATATGTTGCATTATTCCTGTTAGTTCAACATGTGGCTCTTCACAATAGGGACTAATGAACACCAAATAAAACTTACATCCAGTTCAAAAAACAGGTCCCTTTCTTTACTTGCGATTTCATAATCTGCTCGGAGGGCCAAGTCGTGGATTTTGGTACATTCTCCTAAGTCCATGCGCTGTAAGAAACAGACACAAGTTTACACACAAACATCTACCCATTAGAAAGCACATGCTCTGGTGTCTCAACTGTCACCAATATAAACAATACTTTTTTGAATACTAACCTATCATAAGAAAATTAAGAAACAGAATATGGCTGAGAAGCCCTATTTTTCTTTTACCACCGTGACTACATGATACTCAGAACTGATGCATTTAACAGTGTAAAGTTTATATCTCTTTTAGACCCAGAGATAATTGGACAAATGAAAACCACATTAATTTTGCAAATTTTATTTTTGCATCTGTCACAGAAAAAAAATATCTATTTTTTTAATAGCAGAATTGGGGATGGGGGTGGCAAGAAAGAGGCAAGAAAACCCAAGTGTCCTGACAGCAACAAGCTTCTAGTTCTAGGCATTCCCTCACGCAATCTTTACTACTCAAGATGCTCAAATTGCAGAGACAAGAAAAGGAAAGGGCAGAGAGAAGTCAGGTTTTGGCAATTACAACACAACCTAACACTTGGCTTTTGTGTAGCACTTAGTATACCAAAGGGAATAAAGCAGAATGGGCCGATTCAGAGCCAAATGAATCCTCCATTCTCCTAACCTGGTAAATGACCCTGGACATATAATTGGGCCACTCAGTTGCCCCTTTGAGAAACAAAAGGCTCTTTAACTAAACAAATCACCTGTGTTACAGTAAGATTAGCCTGGTGTGCTATCATGTGTTTTAAGCACATGTAGAACAATTAACCCTACACAGTTCTTATCTAAATCCTGAGTACAAGACTGCACAGACACAAACACCGCCTCTGACATCTAAACAGCAACAGGGAAGTTTGTATGCTGAGAATCATGCTTACCAAGTAAGAGTTCAAGTTAACAAACCCAACATCCAATGAGACAACTCAGAACTAGTAAACAAAAAATGATGGAACCCAGAACTCCTTTGAGCTCAAACTGTGTTCATAATGATATCAAAACCTTCACGTGTTATAAAATCATAACATTTTAAGAAAATTAGAGAGGCTCACAGTGCCTGACTCTTGGGCCCTATTTCACAGAAGGTATGTGCCATGCTCACTAGCAAAATATCCTTCAGCCCTAGACAGTTTGGCTCAGTGGATAGAGCATCGGCCTGCGGAATGAAGGGTCCTGAGTTCGAGTCCGGTCAAGGGCACATGTCAGGGTGTACAGGAAACAGCTGATCCATGACGCTCATCATTAACATTTCCATCTCTCTCTCCCTTCCTCTATAAAATCAATAAAAGTATATTAAAAAAATAATACATAAATAAATATCCCCTTCAATATCACCAGTGACAGTAATAATGAGTGAGCTGCCTAGTGTGGAGTTTATCTTCATTTCTACCAAAGATTGACTCTTACATTTAAATGCTAAAACCTCTTTTTCCTTCATTATTCTTACTCTGAAGTCATATATAGTTCATGTATGTTGGTTACACAGGGGATCTAGAGGTAGAGCAACAGTGGTTCTAAAAGCCAAAGTTGTAACTAGAATCACTGTCCCTATAAAGTTGATTTTTGCTTCATTCACTCTTTTAAGTACCAATTAAGATTCTTTAAAATACATAGTTTCCACAAATGAAACTATGTGCTTTAGCTGAAAAATTAATGGCAGCTATCAGAAATACTTAAAAGGTAATGAAGTCTTGCCCTGGCCAGTGGTTAGAGCAGTGGTCGGCAAACTGTGGCTCGCGAGCCACATGCGGCTCTTTGGCCCTTGAGTGCGGCTCTTCCACAAAATATGTGTGGGCGCACATGTACAGTGCGATTGAAACTTCGTGGCCCATGCGCAGAAGTCGGTATTCTGTGGAAGAGGCACACTCAAGGGCCAAAGAGCCGCATGTGGCTCACGAGCTGCAGTTTGCCGGCCACTGGGTTAGAGCATTGGCCCACTCACCAAAGGATCAAGGATTCGATTCTCCATCAGAGGCAAGGGCAAGTACCTGGGCTGCAGGTTAGATCCCCATCGGGGAGTGTAAAGGAGGCAACCAACTGATGTTTCTGTCCCTCCCTTTCTCCCTTCCACTCTCTTTAAAAAAACAAAATAAAAGCTAATGAAGTAACTACCACAGGAAGCACTAAAACCTTAAGTGCTAAAAATTTTAAATGCAATCAATTTCCACTCTAAAAACTTCCAAATGCCAAGGAAGTTTTTACATTAGGGAACCACAAATGAAGCAAAACTCACCGCTGTCTTCCTTTGGGTGAGAGCCCTCAAGCTAAAGTAAGCGGAGGGTAGGCCTGGGTGCCATGGTTACTCTCTGGAAGTATCTTTTCCGCTTTGCCAAGGAGGCAGGGAAGTACTGGCCAATTACCCTGGCAGCTAAACACCAAACAGCTGAAACACCACACTCTTTAGGTCTTTCCAAAATATCCCAAGTGGCTGTTAAATCCAGCCTGTCAGACGGTTTTTGCTGCACAAACACCTGTGTTCTCACTAGTGCTCTGACACTGCTAACAGGAAAAGACATTAAAGGTTTCTTCCAGAACCTTTGGAAAACAAAGTTCTTCCACTGAGACAAGTTATACTACCTTCCCCCCAGCTATTTCACTCTCCCAAACTTACTAACCAATACTATATTTTCCCATTAGGCCCCAATACAAGTATTACTTCCACTCCTCTTCGCCTTACCCCAATGACAGGAAGTAGTTTTGAACAAAAATGTGGGCCTGGCGTAGCCCTTAGCAGGCTGACGGTTACAACCCCGTCCATCTTGCAGCTCCACTCTGAAGAATTATAATCATTCCAATGTAACACGAACTCCCCATAAGACCCGTCATTTAACTCTACCCCTCACCTTCCACTTCCATGTAGCCCACACCCAATGAGGCTCACCCTTTACTACAACCTCCATTTGAATTCCCAATCCTTGTCCTAATTGATCCCCGGCAACTCTTGAGATTTGCATCTTCACATGAACATGTCTCCTGGGTTTTCTCCTTCTCCTCAGTCTGGTCCTCCTCAGACTCCTTCTACTGAGGTGCCCCTGGCCAACCCCACACAGGAGTGACTCTGATCAGTCCGTGGCTTCTCATAACTCAAATGACTCCACAGCCTCTGCCTCCCTCCCCCAACTCACACCAGTCCAGATACACCAGTGGCATTCCTGCTGTCCTCATCTCCATCCTCTACCCAGAGCATTATACCCCCAAAGCCAGGCACATGTCCCTTCTCACCATAAGGGTCTCTATTCCAATGTCCCTAAGAGGCCTTACCTTATCACCCTATCTAGAACAGTCTATTACCCACTCATTATTTATTGTATGTTCTCTTCCACCATTACATGACAGCAAAGACTTAGTCTTATTGGCACCATATCCCCAGGGCCTGGCACAGAGACTAGGTGTCCAATAAATATTTGGTGAATTAATCTATACCTAACACAATAAACATTGGTAGGAAATGGCCTCATTCTGGTTATTTTTCTCACCAGCATTCTGGAACAATGCTACATAGGGATCTGATTAAGAAAAACATGGTTGGCCCTAGCCCAGTGGTCAGCAAACCGCAGCTCGCGAGCCACATGCGGCTCTTTGGCCCCTTGAGTGTGGCTCTTCCACAAAATACTACGTGCAGGCGTGCATGTACAGTGCGATTGAAACCTCATGGCCCATGTCCAGAAGTCGGTTTTCGGAAAGGAGATAGACGAAACAAGTATACAAGACGAGTGTGGATGGGAGAGTTAGAAGGGGTCAACCTCAGTGAACGTACCTCAATCAGATTGAGGACGTTTTTAGGAAAGGCCAGCTTAGGAGTACCCTAATTAAGTTAATAACAATGTACCTACCTATATAGTTTGTTTAAAAAATTTGGCTCTCAAAAGAAATTTCAATCGTTGTACTGTTGATATTTGGCTCTGTTGACTAATGAGTTTGCTGACCACGGCCCTAGCAGGTTTGGCTCAGTGCATAGAGCATTGGCCTGCTAACTGAAAGGCCCCAGGTATGATTCCTGTCTAGGGCACATGCCCAGGTTGCAGGCTCAATCCCCAGTGGGGGACGTGCAGAAGGCAGCCAATCAATGATTCTCTCTCATCATTGGTGTTTCTATCTCTCTCTCCCTCTCCCTTCCTCTCTGAAATCAATAAAAAACATATTTTAAAAAAGAAGAAAAAAAGAAAAACATGGTTGAAATGCTTTACTCTGATGCATGTCCCTCGTCTCCAAACTTCTCCCACTAAGATCTATCAACAATTCCAGGTTATGAAACTTCTCCTACAGGAGTATTCTATAGCTGAACTGTTTATAACTAATGGAAGCCAGACATCTATATTGATGGATTCCTTTGGCTCTGAATTAGCCAATTCTGCTTGACTTTCTCTGGTACACAAAGAGCAACACAAACAAAAATGTGTAGCAAATTCGAGTTATAATGCTTTCCTACACAAGGTCAAAGTGCAGGTAAGCCCCAGGTAAGAGTCACAAAGTTTGGCATTCATTTCCTATTTGCTGTCTGAAGAGCCAGCTTGAGAAGATTTAATACACCTAAGCAGTTTCCCACCACAATGACATTAATAAAGCAATGATTAATCACAAAGAAAACATTCACTAGTACATGCACAGTTGAGCCTTAAAATGAAAAGACAGTTTTTATATCCAGGAGGTGGCTGCAAAATCTTAAAATGGTGCTGATCTTTATAGATCCTACACTTCCTAGTCTTCTTAAATCCTATCTAATTTTGAATAAATGCACATTCTACAAAATTATCACTAATCTGTTTTGTTCATCTGAAGTGAACTTAAAATTTTAGGGGTCTATATTCATTGAATCATGTGTTACTTTCTTGGAAGGGTGGCATAACACAAAACTAGAAAAATCAATGTTATGCCCAACTGATTTTTTGAAAACTTCAAAATTCAGGGAAGAAATGTTATCTTGTTTGACTCTACAAAAACCTGGCAACTTCTGCCCGGCCTGTTTGTCTCAGTGGTTAAGCGTCAACCTATGAACCAGGAGGTCACAGTGTGATTCCAGGTCAGGGCACATGCCCTGCTTGTGGGCTGGATCCCAGTAAGGGGTGTGCAGGAGGTAGCTGACCGATGTTTCCATCATCTCTCTCATCAATGTTTCCATCTCTCTCTCTCTCTTCTTTCCTCTCTCTTTGAAAAAGCAATAAAAACCTATTTTTAAAAATTATTTATTAAAAACAATTCCATTTACTAACAGAACCTATAATTTGAAGGGGCAATAAAGGTGATTTCTATCTGATAAAGGAAGACAGAATTCAACCTGGAAAACTTATACTGCCTACACAGCACCCCAGCCTGGGTGTTCTGTAATGTCTCCAGCCGCCCCCCAAATGCACCTACCGTCCCAGCCAGGATGTCATGAGGGCAGCAGTCCAGAAGGTGACTCTTGCAGACTCGGTCATCTGTAAACTTCACCCTCTGTCTGGTTTCATCTCCTGAAATTTATTTGTGGTTTTAAATATGACAATACCACGTTAAATACAAAAGCATATCTGGTACAAGTCACCTGGATGATTTGCAGACTACCAAATACACTGAAAAGCTGATCTAGAGATATTTACAACTGGAGTGGAATACAGATGTTTTCTGATGCTAAATGTAACATGAAGAATCACATTTAATAAGATCTAACTCCATCATTGTGCCAAAGAAGTCAAGGAGTCAGAGGTAAAAGGCTGAGCACCAAAAGGCCACTATCCCCACACATACATGTGGGCAATGATACCAAAACCCATGTTAATCAGAGGGCCATGAATCACCACGTATGACCTATAGCTGGTAGTTTCCACCAACAAAAGCTATTTATTAATCTAATTGTTTTGCTGTGGACAAAATGTGTAGGCAGCATTTTGCTCAAAAATACAAAGAAAGCTTTCAAACTCTACCGCTAATAAATAATCTAGACCTAGTCTTTCCTATCCCCTTTTCACCCCCACCCTTTAAAAGAAGAGTTGGCACCTGGGAGTCACTGTTAACAAGGCAATACTAAAAAGAAGAAGAAGAAAACTTTAAAAAAAAAAAAGGCAAAAAGGAACTAGGTTAGTCAATACACACTGTGAGTTCCAACATATACTGTACCCATCTGCATTCTTCAAGACCTCAGCTGCAGAATTTTATGCCCGCTGTTGAAAAGTTTTAAAGGAAAAGTTTTCTTGCCCAACCTGCAGTAAGGAAGTCAGGGGAATGATACATAAAAGTAAAGGCAAAGTGGAACGTGACAAATTGTAAAGCTAATCTGTGTATAGGACACAGAGCTGTGTAATACTAGAGGAGGACTCTATCTTAGGATTTGCAAGCATCCAGGATTAATGTAGTGTCTTCTTATGGAAAATGCTCTCTTTCTAAACTACACTTTTAAAGATACTTGTGGAAAAAAAGCAAACACTTTTTTGTTATAACAGCTTAGAAATTGGTTGTGACTCACGGCTCGATGAACATGAGGCTTTTCTGCAACTCCCTTGCAGATTGATGTAGGCAGGCAAAGATACACTGAACCTTTATAAATAAAATAGAGGGGCCACAATTGTTCAGTTTGTATGAAATAAAAATATGGGAAGCAATTCAAAAGCAACTCAATACACAAAGAAAGCTAAAAAGCACGTTTTCACCTATGAAATACAGTGCAAAGCATTTGCACAGCCCTGCGAATGTGCCAGTGTGAACTTACAACTTCATTCCTTCAGTAGGAAACACAAACCACAGCAGGTAAACAGTTTTGCAAAGATGCAACCACTTTCTCCTGAGACAACCATCATGGTCTTGCACTCCTCCCTACAATACAACCTAACCTAACGCCTGACAAGCGCTGGCTAAACAGAGCCTCTCCTAAGCGGGAAGTGGGCGTGGGAAAGCACTCGGCAGGAACCCTCGTAAGAAAAGCTCAATTTACGGCTCCCCTTGCAATGGTACCGAACAAGAACGGCGGGAGTTCGAGGCCCATCGGCTCCCGTGGGTGTAGCTTCTCCCAAGCTGCCGGCGACCTGGAGCCCATGGTGGCTCCAGCCTTTCGCCAACTCCCCGGTTGGAAATGGCAGGACCATACGTGGGGGAGGGGAATGGAGCCCCACTGACGGAGCGGGCTCGGAGGAGGAGCTCGCCGAAGATGCGCCGCTGGAGGGAGAAAAGCCGGCCGAGGTCGCCTGCCAGGCGAACCCGCTCGCACAAAGGCCCGGCGCCGGCCGTCCGCGCGTGGGGGAGGGGAGGGCGCAGGCGCAGACAGTTGCGGCCCCCGCTTCAGGCCGCCCGGCGGCCTCGCCTCACTCCCGCCCCAGCCCCTCGCCTGGCTGGCCGCCCCGACTCACCGTCCCGGGCCGTGCCCATGAGCTGGTCCAGCAGGGCCCGCATCTGCGCCTGGGCGGACATGGTGGCCGGCGGGGGCGGCAGGAACGGCCCTGACAAGGTCTCTCAATTCAGCAGCGGTGGCGACGACGAAGGATAGTCACGTCGGTCTCGAGCCCACTCGGCTCCTTCCCTTCGCGGGGGATGTCGGGAGGAAGTACGTCATGGCCGGCGTTAGGCCTGCTGGGAAATGTAGTTCCTGGGGCAATGGAAGACATCCGCTCTAAGGACTGAGGTAGGCTGGTCCAAGGCAGTTGTCTAAGCTGCGGAGCCAGTCTCTACTCCGATTTTACTCTGGAGCCCAAGACCTATAAACTTTCCGGAGGCTAACCTGCAATTAAACAAAATAAATATAGACAAACCAAAACAAATTAATCTCGTGGGGCTTTTTTGCTAGCCAAATTCAAAATTAATGCTAGTCTTTAACCTGGACAGGAATCAGGAAGACCTGCTGGAGGATCTCTAAATGCCCTATGTGGTGACGGAAAGCCCTACAAGAAGAGTTCTATGTTATAACAACCCTACCACACACTTCCTCTTCCCTTCTATAAAAGACTTCCTACCTATTGCTTACCCACCAACTTGCACCTGATTCACTATGGTGGCAAGGACTGTATTGCAAACCTGTCTTTATTTCCAATTAAATATTGTTTTTGCTGAAGGAATACCTGGCAGACTTTGCGGTCAACACAGTGAGGGCTCATCTGGGGTCCAGAGAAGACCCTGTGCTGCACCAGCACGGCCAAGGGTGAACCTGAGGAGGGGCGGTGAAGGATTGAAGAAAAGGCAGACAAGAGAATACAGCTGGGGCTCGGTATATCTCCTGTGCCTGGATGAGGACACAAAAGACCCCGCCTGCAAACCGATGCTTTATTTTATTGTCTGATTAAAACAAGAGTAGATTAACATGTATACAAATGTTCTTGTTTTGGCAACTTGCTGCACCTCCCACAGCCCATTAGCTACTTCGGAAGGAATTAGGGAGGGCTACAAGGTCAGGCTTAATTATGCTAGGAGAGCTCTGGGACAAGTCCATTAGGCTGGCACTTGTTTGTGGCTTGACCCTGGAGCCGCTCCCTACACTTTCCCAAGCAGGCTGTTCTAATAGAACTACATTGCTTCTCAGCCTATGCCTGACTACCTCTAGTTGGGTTTCTGAATCAGCTGCTTCAGCATGGGGCCCTGACCCCCTTCTCCTTTGGATCAAATGGCTCTTTTTAAAAAATATATTTTTATTGATTTCATAAAGGAAGGGAGAGGGAGAGAGATATAGAAACATCGATGATGAGAGAGAATCATGGATCAGCTGCCTCCTGCACACCCCCTACTGGGGATTAAGCCTGCAACCCAGGCATGTGCCCTGACCAGGAAATGAACCCATGACTTCCTGGTTCATAGGTTGACCCTCAACCACTGAGCCACCCCGGCAGGGCTTTATTTACTTCTTTTTAGAAGGAGTGGAAAGGAGAGATAAACATTGATTTGTTGTTCCACTTATTTATGCATTCATTGGTTGATTCTTGTATGTGCTCTGACTGGGGATCAAACCCACAATCTTGGTATAAGGGGAGGATGCTTTCACCAACTGAACTACCCGGCCAGGTCTGGATCAGACTGTTCTAAATGGAACTGGTTGTTTTTCAGCCTGCAGGCTGCCTAAGCTAGCTGAGTTGTTTAGCCAGTTTGGGCCCTTTCTCTAGAGAAAAGCCTCTGAAAAATGGGGTCTTGGGTATTTAAATATTTCCCTCCTACAGGGCTTCTAGCCAAATTTATGTTTAAAAACCATGGTCCCACCCAGCCAGTGTGGCTGTTAGTTGGGCATCGTCCCTTGCACCAAAAGGTTGCTGGCTCCATCCCCAGTAGGGGGCATGCAGGAAGCAGCCAACTCATGTTTCCCCCTCACATTGATGTTTCTGTTTCTCACTCTCCCTTTCTCTCTCTCTAAAAATCAATAAAAATAGCTCAGCCAGCATGGCTTAGTGGTTGAGCATCAACCTATGAACCATGAGGTCACAGGTTCGATTCCCAGTCAGGGCACATGCCCAGGTTTTGGGCTTGATCCCTAAAAGGTGGCATGCAGGAGGCAGCCAATCAATGATTCTCTCTCATCATTGATATTTCTCTCTTTCCCTCTCCCTTCCTCTTTGAAATCAATAAAAAATATATTTTAAAAAGATAAAATAAAAATCAATAAAAAATATTTTTAAATATTTTGAAAACCATGATCTTTAATGAAAATTTTAACTAAATGGACTGCTATGACCAAAATTAATTTAGCCCTAACTGGTTTGGCTCAGTGGATAGAGCATCAGCCTGCGGACTGATGGGTCCCAGGTTTGATTCCAGTCAAGGGCACGTACCTTGGTTGCTGGCACATCCCCAGTTGCGAGTGTACAGGAGGCAGCTGATCGATGTTTCTCTCTCATCGATGTTTCTAACTCTCTATCCCTCTTCCTTCCTCTCTGTAAAAAATCAATAAAATATATTTTTTTTAAAACAGTAATTTAGAACATCAATGGTCATTATGGGGAACTTCCCCCTCAACTTTTATAATGTAATGACTCTTTAGTTCTCTATTTTCAGGTCTGAGCTCCTGTTTTAAAACCATCAGATACACTAAGTTTGTTATGTTTTTAATTTTGCCTTTTTGTTGTTGTTGTTGTTGTTAAACTTTGCACCTATTGCTTATTAAACCTGGACACGAGCAATTTGAACCATGCATTTTCCCTCTGACGTTCAACAGGATGCCCTAAAGAGGTCCTTCCCGGCATCAAGGGACAAAAGGCTGCTGATTTTGGAAGACCTGAGTACTGATCAGCTATGCCTTCAAAGATCTCCATCAAAAGGGGTGAACCTGAGGAGGGGCAGTGAAGAATTAAAGAAAACAGGCAAGAGAATACAGTTGGGGCCAGGTAGGATCACTGAGCCTGGATGAGAAACAGTGACACAGCCTGTAAACTGAAGCTTTATTTTATAGTCAGATCACACAAAGCAAAACAAGGGAGTGGTCAACATGTTTACAATGTTCTTGAGAGTTTCAAATCTATTTCGTTACTCAAGCCTTGTTTTGGCAGCACTTGCTGCACCTCCCACAGTCCATTAGCTACCTAGGAACAAAGGAGGACTATAAGGTCAAACTTAATTGTGGCTAGGAGGGCTCTGCCCTCCAAGCTGGGACTTGTATGTGGCTCTGCCACACGTAAGTCCTAGGCTTGACCCTATAGCCACTCCCTACAAGGGGGAAATGTCAAAATTAATAAAAGTTTAAAGCAAGATAAGAATCCTTTTAGGCCCTAACCGGTTTTGCTCAGTGGATAGAGTGTCAGCCTGTGGACTGAAGGGTCCTGGGTTTGATTTTGGACAAGGGCATGTACCTTGGTTGTGGGCACATCCCCAGTGTGTGTGCAGGAGGCAGTTGGTCAATGTTTCTAACTCTCTATCCCTCTTCTTCCTCTCTGTAAAAAGCCAATAAAATATATAAAAAATAAAAAAGAATCCTTTTAGGAGCCTTGGTTGATTGGAGCTTCGTCCGGTACACCTTCTGGTATACCAAAAGGATTAGGGTTTGATTCCCCCCCAAAGGAAGATACCTAAGATGCAGGTGCAATCCCTGTTCAGGGATACAGGAGGCTACTGACCGATGTTTCCCTCTCTCTAAAAAATCAATTAAAAAAAACATATCCTAACCTGACCAGCGTAGTTCAGTGGTTGAACGTCGACCTATGAACTAGGAGATCACGGTTCAATTCCAGTCAAGGGCACATGCCAGGTTTCGGGCTTGATCCCCAGTGGGGGGCATGCAGGAGGCAGCTGATCAATGATTCTCTCTCATCATTGATGCTTCTGTTAGAAAGAAGGAGAGCACCAAAACCAGAGCTTAGGCTCAGAGTCTTGCAGGATTGGCTAATTTAAAGGAAAAAGGAAGGGGTTGACCTTTGCCATTTCAAAATGGCAGAGCCCAGGGGAGCTGCAAGTCACAAGAGCCAAAATGGTGGCTGCCTAAACTCCCTTCTTTGACAGAAAAAATTATGTGTTTATTCCCACAATTTCCCCCTTTTCTTTTCTTTGTTTATATTTTAATTGACTTCAGAGAGGAAGGGAGAGGGAGAGAGATAGAAACATAAATGATGAGAGAGAATCATTGATCGGCTGCCTCCCACACGCCCCCTACTGGGGATCGAGCCTGCAATCCAGGCATGTGCCCTTGATGGGAATGGAACCTGAGGCCCTTCAGTCCATAGGCTGATGCTCTATCCACTGAGCAAAACTGGCGAGGGCTCCCCTTTGCTTATTAACTCTTTTCTTCAAACTTGGCTAACATTCATTGACTTTCATGCTCTGCAGTGTCTACAGGAGGAGATCATTTTGCTGTTTGGCCAATGCAGTTTCAATTAACCTTTGGATAAGGCTCCTCATACATGGGATGTTACAACATCCCACCTCTGTAACTCCTAACACCATTATCAAAGAGGTGAATATGGATACCATCATCCCCTTCCATTTTCTGAACCATTGCTCTAGTAGATTGGAGAAAGGATCCTCAATTCCAGGATTCTCAGCCTAAAGTTGTTAATCCCTGCAGTGCCTTAGTAATGGAGCTGTGTTGTCAGGGATGAATGTACAACAATGGCCTCCCAACATTACACATATTCCTCCTCTTTCTGCCAGAATCATATCCAAGGCCAATCTATTCTCCCATGTTATTCTGCTGGTAGCAACTACTTGTTCAGCTATACCAATACCTGTTCATCTCATGTATAGTTAACAAACCTTTGTTGACTATAGTAAATACTAGAGACCCGGTGCACAAAATTTGTGCACTGGGGATGGGTGTGTGTGGGGGGGTCCCTTAGCCTGGCCTGTGCCCTCTCGCAGTCCAGGACCCCTCCCTCTTTACCGCCCACCTGCTTGCTGCTTCCTACCACTCAGCTTGCTGCTCCTTAGTGCTGCCGTGAAGGCTCCCACTACCACCACTGCACTCGCCAGCTGCCTTGACCCCTGCTGTGGGTCAGAGCTCTTCTGCTACAGCAAAGGTTTGGGTTCCATTCTGCCAGGGCACCTACTTAGGTTTCGGGTTGATCCCTGGTCGGGGCTGACTG